AAAAAAAAAAAATTAGTGATACAATTAAATCCATGATATTAGAAATCATTTTGAAATGCAAATTGTTGACCACCGAACTTCGATCTCATGAGATTTATCCGGGGGCCCATTTCAATCAGATGTGAGTTCGGATTTTCAGTAGCTCGAATTAGACCCGCTGTAACATCTGAAAACATCATGATTATCCCTTGTCACATCAACCTCTCAAATCAATACACTTGTCAGGAGCGACGTCACCACCGCCCAAAACCACCAATCCAAAGCTCGAAATCTCAAGCCCCTTGCAGGTCATCATTACCTAGAGAAAACATTGACACATGACCACCGACCTCGTCGACCAATCACAGGAGAATTCGACGACCCGAGTTTCGAGCTTGGTACTGTAGCTGATTTGAGTTATTTGATGTAATTTCAGCTGAAGCCTTGTATTAATAATAGAGTAGAAGTCTTGTAAAAAAAAGAAAAGAAAAGAAAATACACACAAAATCATAATCCGATTACATCTTCTCTATATATTTTGTGATCCGATTTAGCAATAAATAACCCTTTTTCTTAAAGTTGGCTCAAAATTAGCTTTGCAAATTTTGACATCAACAGTTTGGTGCTAGAAGGAGGGCCTCAATTGTGAAAAATAGCCCCACTCTCTCCACAAAACTCGAAAACCATGAGTCACAACTCCAGTTCTAGAAATCCGTCTCACATCCACTCTCATGAAGCCAATACTCTACCAAGTTCTCCATGACGACAAGACCCACAAATGACTGCGATGAGGAAAGTCCAGGAAAAATTGACAAATGCAGTGGGACAATTGGAATGGAGCCAAGCCCATTTGTCCCCACCAGATACCGAGGTGGAATCCCCTGCAAGGACAAGGGCAAAACGTCCTCCCACCAGGAGAACTCTCCACTTTTCAAGAGGAGAATCCTCAAGAAGCCGGATTGACGAAGTTAGAAGTAAGGATTCCCCGACAAGGAGGACCAACAGCGTATTCGACAGGTTGGGGACCCAGCACTCGCTAACCCCTACGCGAGGACAGGCTGGTTCCGACCTTAAACGTCCTCTAGAATAGGCAGAACCCAAGCTGAGTGCGCTAAAAAGGCGCATCGCTGAGCTGGAGGCTAAAAACAAAGGTGGCACTGAAGACTATCTCACCAAGCGACATTCTCCATTTACTGAGGATGTCCTCATAGAACCATTGCTCGAAAAATTGAAGATCCTCCAGATGGCTACGTACGAGGGAGATGGAGATCTCCTCAGCCACCTTGACAAGTACACCTCATGGATGGAGCTACAGGGAACAAGCGACGTGATCATGTGCCGGGTATTCTCCCTAACTCTGGGAGACAAAGCTCGGAGATGGTTTAGAAGACTACACCAGAGGTTAGTAAAAAATTGGAACGACTTGGCCACAACATTTTTAGCCCAGTTCATGGGCTCCAAAGACAGAACCACGCCCAAGGAGCGATTAGTAAGTATCAAACAAGGAAAGAGTGAACCCCTCAAAGGTCACCTGAGCAGGTTCAATAAACAATCCATGGAAGTAGAAAAAATATCTGATGATGACGCACTCATGTCAGTACTGGCTGCACTAAGGCCCAGAATGAGACTCTGGTGGTTGGTACACGAGGACGGACCAAAGACCTATCACGAGTTCTTGAGCCGAGTTGAAAAATACATAAGTGCTGAAAACGCAAGCTCTGATTAAGAGAAAGCCAGGTGTGATCTTGACCTTAGCAATACAACAAAAGAAAAAAAAGCTGAATAACAGTCCTCAACATGAAAGAAAGAAGGGCAGGAGAGAAAGAGAACACCACAAGGCTTAGCCATGCAAATTTCGAGAATACTACCCACTTAAAGCCTCCTTGGAAGAAGTATTCATGCAAACTAGTGAAAAAGAGGCATTTCACAGGCTGGTGACCTAGAAGAATGGGCAAGCAAGACACCATCAAGGGCGATACTGCTGTATCAGAGGATGGTGAGTAAGGACACTGATAACTGTCAGAAATTGAAGGAGAAAATTGAGTCCTCAATTCGAAGAGGTCGGCTACAGGAGTTTGTTGCCGAACCAAAAGAAGTAGACCAAACTTTGTCGTAACAACCATTGCTATAGGGACCTCCTGTGGGAGCTCAATAGATAGTTCACAATTGTAATCCACCCCCACGCGCTAAAATCAAAATGATGGTCGGAGAAAACCAGTATATTGAGAGATCTAGAAGGGCGAGATAAAGATAAGCCCGAAATGCCCAAATCATGCTGAACTACGAAGATCAAACCCCTCAGATCTGCACAGACCCTAATGGTTTTGGTTCACGGAGAAAGATTCTCAAGGAATCCTCCAAAACCAAAGTGACGCCTTAGTGGTCACCATGCCAGTTGTCGGGGTGAATGTTTATAGAACATTAGTGGATAATTGGAGTTCGGTCAACATACTATCTTCATGAACTTTGAGGCAGTTAGAAATATCGAAATGCTACCTTCAACCATACCGAAGGAAACTACAGGGATTCTCCGGAGACCCTATCGAGGCTCGAGGTAAGATCGTCCTTATTGTAGAGCTGGTGAAGCCCCTAGTCAAAGAAGGGTTCTGACGAATTTTGTGGTAGTCGATCTGCCATCAAACTACAATGTAATATTAGGATGACCCATATTGCATGAGCTGAAAGCTACCACATCAATCTATCATTACTGTATAAAGTTTCCTACCCCTCATGGGATCGGGATAGTCCGAGGAGACCAAGCTGGGGCCAGAGCGTGCAATATCGACCTACCCAAAACTCAGGTTAACATGCTAAGGGACAGGGAAAATACGTGACCTAAGGAAGCCAAACTGAAGAAACCAATCATGACGGATCTCTCTGAGATTGACATAACTGAGAAACATTTCAAGCAACCTATGGATGACCAGTTATCCTTTGACGAAAAAGAGGTAGATCCACATCCCTACCTCAGAGTCCTTGTAATCTCATTATCTGTCACCATAGTAACCGTCCCAAAAGTCTTGGTGGATATGGGTAGTGCTCTCAACTCTCTCTTCAGCGACATCCTCAAGTGGATAAACATACCTGCCAACTTTCTATGACCGTACTCAAATATGGTCCTTGGACTAAGCGGAGCCCTGACCTGAGCTAAAGGACCGATCAAACTCAAAGTTGAGTCCGGATTGACACCCCGTCAAGTAAAGACAAACTTCGAGTTCGTGGTGTTCGACACTCCGTCGCCTTATGACGTCGTCATGGGGCAACCATTGATATTCAGTTTGAAAGTAGCGGTGTCACTATACCACTATTCAATTAAGTTCCCTACTCCCCATGGTGTGGATGAAGTCAAAGGAATCAGGGAGCTTGCCAATACATGTCAATTAAAAGCCTACGGTCACTGCCAACGTACCCTTCCGGGAGTGCATATAGCTCACGTATGGGATTTTGAACTCAATTCACTAGAACCACGGATCAAAATCGAAGGAAGAGAACCTGTCAAAGAGTTGGAAGGAGTTCAAGTTTGTGCCAACGACTTGTCAAAAGAACTAAAAGTCGAGTGCGAGCTGCAACCTTCCACCCGAAGTGAAATTGTGGCTTTTCTCAAACAGAACCTTGATGTTTTTGCCTGGAACCATGGGGACTTGAGAGGAATAGACCCCAAAATTGCTTGCCACAAATTGCAGGTAGACCCTTCAGTTCGGTC